TTCTTTTCGTGTGAGGAGGGATGGGTGCGTACCTGGGATGTGGGCATTACTCTAAACAAGTTCGATATCAACACTCATACTCTCACACCCATCCATTGTTCTCAGTATACTACCTATGTAAAAAAGCTCTTCAAAAATTCAAATATAATCAGATTGGGCTGTGGGTGCATGGCGAGTATGCGTATAGGTTTGGTGGTATTCATATTGTTTAAGCCAACCACGGCTACAACCACAACGTTCCCAACAGAAAACAAACTATACATAAATGCGCTCTAACCGAAAAGTTTTGAGAAAAAACGCCGTTTTGCTTCTAAAAGCATTTTGTTTTGTATGAGACGCTTATAAAAGCGTCGGTCTTCATTTTCAATGCATCTTCCAACTTGAAATAATTGTAGGTGTGGGTGTGGGCTTTCGTAAGGATAAAGAAAAGACCCACATCCTGACACAATGGAATTTTCTAACTGATGTTCTTTCGCATGAGGCGTTCGCTTTTATCTTATTTACTTTCACTATTTTATGGTATTTCCCACTTTGTACGGTAAAAAATGACGATTTCTACTAGAAAGCCAAGTTATAGAGGGATATGGAAGAATAAAAAAAAGGGAAGTACAATAAATTATTAATTAGATGATTTCAAGAAAGCATTGAGGGTGCAGGTATGAGTATAGCTGTGAGTATTGGTGGGAATGTGGCTGCGGGTCAGCAAGTATCTGTGGATTTGGATGTGGCTGTGAAGTATATGTTTGTGGATGTTGTGTTCTCTTCATCCACACCTTCAAGTTCCATATATAAATCCTCAATTGTATGCCTCCACATTAAACTTCAAACTTGCACCTATAGGGTGTGGGTGTGGGTTTGGGTTTCAGAGAATTAATGACTCACACCCACACCCACACCCACACCCACACCCACACCCACACCCACACCCACACCCACACCCACACCCTAGTAAGAGAACGGAGTTTTAATAGAAATCTTAAAGAGTATAGCACGTTTTTACAAGTGTCGCGAGTGTGTTTTGTTTCACTGCTTCTCAGGAACTTCGATGGAATTTTTTTTTTAGTACATGTGAATGTTGCCGCCATAGTGTAGTTCTTTAGATTTCTGTTGAGTATCAGTGTGAGGGTGCCAATTCGATTAGATGTATCGGTGGCAAAAATTTTCATCTAGCTCCACATACCATTGTGCACAACGAGATGAACGCTAATGCTATGGTACACGTACCTATCCACCCTTTTAAAATATTGGGTACTAGTTATGTTGAAGATTGTAAAACACCATAAAATAAAACAGGGTCGAGTATACAATGGAAGGTCAAGTGAGTCATACGAATTAGCGTTACTTATTAATATTTCTTACTGCCTTTGTGTACTCTTGCTTGTGAATCTGCTTTGAAATGGGCCTAGATTGATAGTTTGGTCCCAGGTAAGCTTTGAGCATGAGAGAAATTCAATTGACGCATTTTAGTCTTCGAAATGATAGAAAATGCTTTATTTTGATGCAAGATTCTACTGCAAGTCAGTTTCTTTTAGTGAAGACTGTAGAACACGGAAAAGTACTTTTAATTTTAGAAATCAGTTTAAGTCTTCGGTCTGATTTGCGATGCTCGCAGTAAGTTACGACTTTAACTTTCAGATTTACTTCATTAGAGATAGCCTCATGCATCTCAGCTCGATCTACTTTTACTCTCTGTTAAAAGCAGAGTCATATGTAATCAATCACATTTTGCTTGCGTCGACGTTTTTGAGGACTGCAAGTCGAAATTTGAGGTTGGATTTCACATCATGACTTCCCGAAGGTTAGGAAGTTGATTGGTGAAAAATCAACTTCATTGAAAATCTTTTTTGAATATTGATGCAACTTCGCTATTGGACATAAGTGAATAATATTCCCGATTGAATTTAAAGTTTTATATTTCAAAGAGCTGGGCGAAAGTAAGTCCAAATAAGAAAAATGGAAATTCAACTCATTTGTTCAAACTTTTGAATCTGATTTCTTTGGCTAAACAAAAGGGTTTCGAAAAAAATCAGATATTTTAGAGAACTTGCCGTGTACTAAATGGATGTATGCGCAATAAAGCATGTAGTGTTTCATAAGTAGATTAACTTTTGTGAGAGAAACAATGAATTTTTGCGGTACTGGATATTGAGTAGTACGAGGTATAATGAGCTTATGATTTGTCAGTGACTGGGAGAGTAACGTACTGAGACATGTTTTTTACCGATTAATAAGACCCATAGATATACTGGCATTGAGGTCCTAAGTAACGAGTATCCCTAAGACCTGAATTCAAGTCTATTTCTATTGTGGTATGGTCGACAATTAACCCTGGTTTCAATCAATTTTCTCCGGTTTAATATTCCATTATTAGCTTTTGTTTTTCCCCATAAATTTTGATTCACTGAATTTCTCACCATAATTATGACTCGACGAAGCTAGCATGAACAAGAAGTGAAAACAAGATGTTGGATTTCTGTATAGTAAAAGGAATATAACTAGCTGTTGCCGAGGTGTTTTTAAATAATGGACCAACTAGTCATGAGTTGCGCCTCACAAGTGCGCTAACAACCAATTACAATCGTATCTATTTCAGCTTTGCTAGTGAGTTGTTTTCGAAATGATCTATAGAGAAACTAGTTTTTTCAGAATATCATACACAAGAACCATTTGATGAGGAATTCCATAAAACCTCGCATAGGCTAATTAAGAGGGGCAATGAAAGGCATAAGATATGGCACACGGGAAAGTTTCGGCTTCGAAATTTCAAATGAAATACTCTCACTTTATGATTCTAAAGACTTTTGAAACTGAATACACAATCTGGAATCCAGTGGAATTCAAATCATTGAGTGTGAATATATACGCAAACAGAATTATTCCTGATAGCGGTTAGACACGGAATTCCTTGAAGAAACGCTTTAGACAGACCAAACCCATCGAAAGAATGCCGAGTATTTAGATTTCACTGGTTTTAAAGGAAATTGCAACTGGCAAAAAAGTAAACAAGTATCTTCGAATGAATTGTGAAAACAATTGTGTTATATGTGTCTAGGATCGGAACAGAACATTCTATGGAAAAGGTCAGTCAAAGAATTTATATAAACTTATCCGAAGTAGATTTGAATAACATCAAATAAGTACTTTCGCCTTTATATATCTTTGTTTCTGTACACTGAATTGTCTCAATGTCCTCGCGTAACTAAAATTAACTGTTTAATCCGATGACAATTTCGAGAACAAGACTCATTGAAGCTTAAGGGGCATATAACTATCATTAGTATGCCCAAATATGATTTGTTTTTTATTTAAAAACTTCGCAAAAGAGATATTTTTAGAGTGACTGCAGACAAATGATGTCCTCAGTTTTTGTCAACCATAGGAGTTCAAAATTTTTTGGAGGCATACTATATCTTTATGCTAATGATACGGATGTGTTTTTTTCTATATGTTCTCTTTACGAATTGAATTTATTCTTTTTTCTTGAGATCTGTGGATATTGCTCTCATGCTCTGGTTAATATAGATTCCCTTAGGTATTTATCAATGAGTATCGACTTCAGTGTATGATTTCTATGGGTGTGTATATCACAAAGACACGCACAACTTGAGTAAAGTTGACACGAATGCACAGATAAATGTCTGGATTAATACGCAGTCTTGTTAAGAGCAGCTGCTAATTTTCGCAAAAAGAGCTGAAAGCTGCCGTGGAAATCATGAAATAGTAATACATTCAGTCGAGGGTTAAGCGAGTCGCACAGACGAGCGTTACTTGTTTTATTATGAGCATGACATCGTTTAGTGTAAAAAAGAATAGTGCAACGTAAAAGTGTTTTCCTACAAATTATCTTTGAACAGTTTTTCTATTTTGTTTAAGTTTATGAAGATTTTTCAAACGATACGTGGATTCTATGAGATTCTTTTGATCCGAACAAGTTTCAAAAGTATTGTTCGACGGTGCTATCTTTACTCGAAGTACAAAAACTTAATCTTTTTTTTTTGTGTTTCCAGAAAAACCCTTGCGCAGTCGTTTCTTTAATTATTACGATTTTCTAAATGCTCTAACTTTCAAAACATCCACATCTTCATTGATCATTTTACACATTCGTTTGGTTGTTAATTAATAGGTACAACTATCATTTTCAGACTTGAATAATTCTTGTATCCCTATGGAATTTCCAATAAATTTACTAGTAGCATGATGTAGATGTATAATATCAAGTAAACTGATCGTTGAACTCTTTTTTTTATGAATCAATAGCTGATCAACAGAACTATATCTTGACACGCTTTAATGCTTCTATTTGCTGATTTTAGATGAAAAGACTACTAGAAAGCTATTTTACTAATATTGTGGAACACTAGTGCGTTTCTTAAAGAACCTTTATTCATACTTCATTTGCTAAGTTTCTGTAAGTTCTTTAAAAAAGTTATTTTAAAATTTTCCAGAATGCAGCGTCTTGTAGAAATCAATAATCTCCATCGAACAATATGAAAATATCGAGCAAAAAAAATTTAGTCGATTTTTGAATTACTCTAAGTTTACAAAGAAACTTGAGTTTTTTTATTACGATGGAAGGTGTTACCTTTGAACAATATATTTGAAACGCATTCGGGTCAAAATATCGCGATATCTCCAGTTATTACTTAAACACAAAGATAATAAAGTTAAACAAGGTATGACAGATATTCAGAAAAAGTTTTAACAAGGAACTTTTAGGACGTACTATGGATAGACTTCCACTCACATCCCAGATTAATGATATAAGATGAACGTCACAAGCAGATTAGGGTGGATTTGAGAGTGTGAGTGTTTGATTGTGGATGAAAACTTTGATATGAGAGAGAATGTTGATAGAAATGTGTCGTGTACTGATGTGAAATGTGGGTAAAATGAAAAAATCGAATCATAAATCATTGAATCCTACGAGCCCAGCTAGTTTTTAGCAAATCCCATAGATCTTTGTTAGTCCTGAATATGCTAGTGGATTCTCGGGAAACCTCATGGATTTGAAAAGTAAATTGTTTGAAGTAAACTCAAGAGAACATTGCAGAAGTTAAACCTAATGAAAAAGTTTCCTGTGATCTGAGTGAGTATGCTGCGTGTGTGCATGCATGGGGTGTGGATTTGAGTGCGGTGGAGATTTTAGCAGCTACGGAGAAGGTGACATCTATGTCCATTTTGTTACAAAGCTGTTAGCGGTGATTCACCACCAGCTTCTCCTTCATGTTGCTCTACCTATTCTTTTCTCTTCTTCTTCTCTCTTATCGTTATTGTTATCTCTTTTTTCTCTCCTATATCATATATATATATATATATATGTACGTGTGATCAAGGACGAAAGATATAGATTAAATAAACGTAAAGCTCGTAAAACGAGCTAACAATTGGTGCCGTGACCGGTCCTCTTCTAATTCCACCATCGAAGCGGAACCAAGTCATAATTTATTTAGCTCATCCTTCAAGGAAAGAGTGTAATATAATCTCATCTTTCACGGAAAGAGAGACAACAAATTTAAGTATTATTCAAAAATTTATTTATTAAAGAAGATATTCATCTTCGTCATCAAGGTCAAATTTTTGTCCTTCCTTTACGTACATATATCTTAACAACGGCTACCGGTACAAGAAGAGCGATTAAAAGAAGTGGAGCAAATCTTTTCCCATACGAATTAATAACCAATTCACCAACAAGAATACGAAATAAAAAGACAAACGATATGTCATTAATGCAAGAAATTGAAACGAATTCAATGGAAACTAGACAAATTCATTCAAGTCAAAAAGAAGCAATGAAAAAAATATCTGAATTTTCAGGAGAATCCAATGAAAATGATATTGATGAATGGTTATTCGATTTAAACAATATATTTTCATTAATGAAATAAAAAGATGAAACAAATATCCTTGAAACAATGGGTAAATTAACAGGACCAGCATTACGATAGTATCAAGAAAATTTGCGATCTTTTATCAATTGGAATGATGCCGACAAAGCATTACGTGATCGATTTAAATAATTTACATCTGATAGTCAATTAATGTACGATTTTTTTCGAATGCATCAGGAAGCAAATCAATCAGTTATATCTTTTTACGAAAATGTCATTCGAAAATATCGAAAAGCTCGACAATTTATTACTGAACAACAAGTTATTACAGTGTTACAAACCGGTGTCAAAGATTCATTAGAAGAACATCTAATTCGAAATGAACAAGATATTAAAAAACCGGAAGAATGGCTGCAATTTGCCAGAGAAGAAGAATATATACAGAAGCGAATTCAACAACAAAGTAATAGTTTGTATTCTGAAACAAAAAATAAAATATTTTTTGAATCTATATTACCAACTGCAACAATTCAACCAACATCATC